GTATTTTGCAATTAAAATTTTATTTCACTAGTGTGAGAAAGAACATCTTTATCCCTATAATCAGTGATATAAATTTGGTAATAAAACATAAAAATAATATATAGCAAGGACAAACCATTGACATATTAAAATTTAATGAGTTTCTTGGGTTCCTAGCCTTTTAAGAACATTTCTATTTTATTTAAATGTTTTTCAATATTTATCAGTTTACTATGCAACTTTCGTTCTTGAGTTCTTTGAAAGTTGTCTTGTAGTCACTGATTCTGTCCTTTAGAAAGATAAACTATTTTGTAATCAATGGTAAATATTGTTAAGGTATTTTTGATCATCTTAGCTAGTGTATATAATTGAAAAAATTATAGTCTTTGATAATGCATGCTACTTTTAGAGACACTTTTGATTGTGAATACTTCAATCATTGTCTCTTTCTCCTGTCTTTTCATAAAACATTTGGATGTATAAGTACTTAGCAGATGCTTATGAAGTGAGAATATGCAAATTTCAACTCTGCATACATTTAAAAATTTAGAAAAATTAGGAAACCGCAGAAGTAAAAGAAAATATTCTAATAGTGATAGTTTTAGTTTCTTTTTATTGGCTATGTATTTTTCAACTTTATTATTTAAAAGAATGTCTTTACATACAGAATCATTGTGCCATGTAATTCCAATTAAAATGAAAATAAATGACAAATTCAATAATTATATACCAGCACAAATGTGAACTTAGAATACATTAGCTTTAATCAACTTTCTACATAGAATATGTTGTTGCTTCTTAACAGCAACAACAGCAAACAGATTTGCTTATCTACACTATCTTATGTCAACCACCTTTTTCACTAACCAACTGCAATATACTTGATATTATCTCCTGTTACATTTTAATAAATAAAATCTCATTTAAGTCTTCTAGTTGTGGTACTTAAAGTTATGTTGTTCAGTAGTAAAGTTCAAGTTTATTCTTTGTTGTATAGCAACTTCCAGGACAGCTAGGGGTACATGAGAATCTTTCTGAAACAGAGAAAGAGAGGGAGAGAGAGAGAGAGAGAGAGAGAGAGAGAGAGAGAGAGAGAGAGAGAGAGGAAGAGGATAAAAGTTTTATGTGATAGGAAAAATAATATATTTGTATACCTATACAATATATAAATTTTATGTCTATGTAGATGAAATACAAATCTGGTGGTGATTCTAGGCAAATCAGTATTTCAAGGAGACGAAGGCAATGCCATAGTATTTTGAAGTGAAAGTGCTTTCTGGTGCTGTTGATGAGGTTGAAATTAAGGGGTCTTTGTTACAGACATTGCTGAAGGAGCAGACCTTCCCTTGGTGACAGTTTTGAGCAAGGGTATAGCTCCTCGTCCACTGGCAGTAGTGCAGTTTCAACAGTGAATCAACAGGGCCTTACTCTTGGGTCTTCTTGAAAGCAATAGCGACCTCGCTTGGGTTAGTTGATGTCGATGGAAATGCAAAGTGAAGTCTGTAAATTCTAAAACCAGTCTGACATTAAATGACAGTATTAATGCTTGTCCATATATTTAAAATAAACCTATTAGTAAAATATTGAGTAGATGTGCTTTAACTTTTTGATAAATTAAACCCCATATTAGTGTCTTCCTCAACTTCCAAACAAAATTCCCATTACTGACAACTGGTGATCAAAAGTAAAGTCTAATGTCCATTTTCTTTTGAAGGATCTCATGCCTAATCAAGTCATAGGCCTAGACTTAAAGAGGATGACTTTCGAAACCTTTCTTTCATGCATCTAACGTTCAGAAATGCCAGCTTTTATTAAGAAGCACAGTGAATGCCGGAGGGAAAAACCCTAAAGCTTGCTAGTCATCTTCAATCATCTTGGGCTTTCTACATGAACAGCTATTCGCTCACCACTTCATCAATGCCATCAACGCAAAGACAAGAAATAATTCGCTGTTTCCATACGCCATGCACCATACGCACACTTATGCTGTACTTTTTCATTTGAGTTCACAGCTTGCTTTCCATCGCTTTCACCAATGCCAAGCATCTTTTTATTTGGTTATTTTTCTTGTGTAACTAATGTAGTATATTATCTTTGCCAATGCAGACTGGATGACGAGGAATCAACCATTCATGAAGACTTTATATTATCCAGAAAGTATCCATAATACTACATACTACATCGACCACATGAGAGTACACTAGTAAAATAGTTTTATCTCTTACGATTGAATGATCCAATCGGCCTTTATTCTTCATTAGAAGCAAAGATAATGCCATCATGAAGGAAATGAAAAGCAACATAAATGTTTCAAAAATAACCCATTATTTATGTTATATGGAACATTTGTCGTAAATCTTACCTTTTATTAAAATTAGATGAAAAAGATTTATATTTTCTAACAGTTTGGAATGCAGATATTGTATAGAAACACTCCTAGTTAGATTGAAGCATATTTCATTTTCAATTTGATACTTTAGGCTTAATAGGCTTGGAATATGTTTACATGCCACTATAATTCTCATTTACCTTCTAAGAAAGGAAATCAGTGGTGTATCTTATAGATACTATAGGTAATTTGTCTATAACAGGACCACATATTAATTGTCATTTTGTTTTCAGATATAGCACATTGATTGAGTACTTGCCCAATGTATATTAATATGCTAGATTTGATCTCCCCACAGAAACAAAAATGCAATTCTCATCTTTAAAAACTTGCTAGTTAAATTTTATTACCACAATAATCAGCAACTCCACTTTAAACTTTTGTTTGTGTATGATGTAATTAAATCTATAAACATTTGAAGGATATATTTTCTTAAATATTATAACCAAGGATATAGCATCAGCACTGACATTCATTGGGATATACTGTTCGTCAATAAATATTGATGATCGGTGGTCACCAAACTTGAATACTGAAGTATCATTTGTATTGTACTTTTTTTGATATATAGAAATGACTTGGCTAGTAATATAAAATAATAGTCTAAATTCAGTTTTAAAAATCAGCATTTGACTTTTGCTTATGTTTGTGGAATTATTAGAAATTTAGTGGGATACTTTTTAACTTGCCCCAGTAGTGAATTAACAATACCCATAACCTTAAGCATCAGGATCATACTTTTCTTAATGTTGCAATATTTTTTCTAGAAGATAGATTACAGGTTATTACCGTGCTGCCACTGAGATTAAGAATGGTCTTCCATCAAATTGGTTCTATTATTATATTACTTTGTAACTTAAAAGTCATATATATGGGATAAACATTTTTTTCTTTCTTTACAGTCTCATGCCAAAACTACCTTAGTGTGAGCATTAGAACCCCAGCAGTATTATGGAAAGATATATACTCTGATATAAATATGAAAAATGATAAAAACTTGCAGAACATAAAAGTTAAATTAAAATTTTAAGTGGAAAGGTGGTGTGTAGTGTTAATATAAATTATCACTAATATTTGTTTGCTATTGAAGATACAGTGACATTTCAACTGCATAATGGTTTTAAGTATATAGTAGTGAAAAACTATAGTTAAAATTTTCTAAATAGCAAATTTAAAGGTAATTAGATACTTCTATGCTTAGTGAGAAACATAGTTTACACATGAATGAATAAAGGAATGTTGGTAGGAATAGAAAAATAGTGATTTTATTTTTTCTAGCAAACTGATATTTTATAAATATTTCCATTTTCTATCCTTGAATATTATCCAAACTGACAAAAGAAGACATACATTTAGACTTCTCAAATATCTTCTCAAATATCAGGATGTAAATTCTCTAATGGAATATCTAGAAAGAATTTCTTAGAGTTGATTTTTCTGAAGTTATAACTGGATGATTTTGATTGAACAGACAGACAACAACTAACCGTTTTTATTACATAAAAGACATGAGTTGGTAGAATTGCCCCTTACAAAATACAAGGCAAATAGGTTGTATTTTAGGAGAAGTACATTTAGAAATTGATGAGAAAAAAAGCTGAAGAGTAAAACAACTTTTTGTCAAATTTTCATTCTCAACTTTTAACTCTTAAGTATCAAGAGATCTGTAACATTTTTAATGTAAGAGAATATCATTTTTGCTAGGAATTTTCTTTTACTAACAGAGTGTTAGGAATTAGAGCCATCTAGCATTCTACATGATAGACTTGACTTTACCTAGATCACTGTAAGTGTTCAGTGAGCATGGCACTAACTCAGAGTCCTGAGGCTACAATCCATTTAAGCACATGAAGTTTTGTAAATGCACTGCACAGAAGCTGATCTATTGATTGAATAATTTCCATCTCCACACTTTCTTTCTAATTGTCTGTTAGGAACAGATAATGTTTTTGTCTTTATTAGTAGTTTATTATAGAATAATTAAATAACAAAAACTTAGATGCTGTCATTTGAACAAAAAAAATTCAGAACACATAGCCTTACATGTGGTTAGAGAAAGTGTTCAATTGATTGATTCAGGCCAAGGAAGACTCAGAACTTCTGAAGCTACCCCTTGAGGCAAACCAAGGCTACCTCATCTCTGGATATAAAAACAATCCGTTGTCTGAATATTTCTCTCTGAAAATTAGAGTACATAGCTGTCCATTCCTTTTGAAGGTGCTGGAAACCTTGTTGGGGTGACAACCATTTAGCCAGAGGCAGCAGACACCCAGTCAGAATTATTTGAGGAAAAACAATTTATAGTGTGGTTGCATTTTTTTCTTCTGATATGTGGCTTCAGAACATTATCAGAGAAGTGTACAATATATTCTGTTACTTGAGTTGACTTATTATCGGATGTATCGTTGATTGACTGTTATGATTGTTTCTTGAAAGCTGTTCATGATGCAGATTTTCTAGCTGATGTTTAGAAAGTTTAGACATATTCCAAGCAGATCAGACTCGAAAAGTTAGAACTGTGGATTTGTCAGTAACTTCTAAGTCTGTGCAGGAACATATTGCATGGGACAGGAATGTAATTTGTGAGAAATGTCTACACACAGGCTTTCATATACCTTTATTCTGTCTTTAGAATTTGGAATGATGGGAGATCATACAATTAAAAGTCAGCGACCTCGATCTGTCCATGAGAAAAGGGTCCCTCAGGAACAAGCTGATGCTGCTAAATTTATGGCACAAACTGGTAATACGTTAGTTACATTTTTCTATTTGTTGTTGTTAATTTAATGAAACCACTGCATGTTTCCATGATCCTTTGCTGCACATTTGTCAGTTTTGGAGCTGATTTTTTTTGAGCTATTTTTTTTGTCACCAGTTAAAGTCCATAAATAAAGTAGCTATGAATGAAAAGTACACAGATAATGTGTAATACTTGCTTTGCTCTTGATATAGGATGCTTTAGGATTTATGTATTATTAATTCCTTAAGTTAATTAGCCTCTAAAATGGATCATCACGCTTTGAAAGGAAAGCAATAAAGTTACTTTTTCGAGAATTATTTGATTTGATGCTTTCATTAACTATAATTTAAATAGGACTAAGCTGATGAGATTCAATGTAACCAGATTTGATACTTAAATATGCTTCCATATGTCATTTTATCTCTAAATATTGCTTGCTGCTAAAATATATAGAAATTAGACTTTTATAATTTAATATACGACGATTTGGAAATAAATTTGTTGAAGAAGATAAATAGTAAAAAGTTAACCATCTAATTAAATATCAACAAAACTGACTTTCTGGCTCATAAAATTCTTTAATCCTACATCAATCAAATTATTTCTTAACTCCCTACAAATTTGAGTGTGACTGAAAAGTGCATTATTTGACATAATTTTTGAAATTCATAGTTATACATGAATATATACACACAGAATTTATGCTTTAATAGTCTGTAGAGTTTGGCAAATTGCAGTGGGCCATAATTTGGCTGCTTGGAGTAAGAATTCTAGAGTTCTGGCCAGAAACATTGCCTGGGGCTCTCCCAGTTGGAGATCTTTAAAGCAGTGTTGCAAACCTGACCAACCTTTCATTGCTTTTCTTTTGCAAAACTTAAAACTAAGCTTATCTATGGTTTTACAAAATTTTATGCACTCGTTCTTGTTTGTTTTAGCATTAGTATGAAATCATGCTTATATAACCAGATCTGTGACATGCTATTCAGAGAATTTTAATGAAATTCTCCAAAAGAATGAATGTGTCCTTCAGTTCATGTGTTCTTTGTGATAGTATCTGTTTAGAACACTGTACATTAGCTTAATGCTTAGAAATTCAAATATTAATACAGAATTGGAGTCTGGGTAATAGATAAATGATATATTTTAATATATTAATTAAAGCTGAGCTTCTCATAACAGGATATATAGAATTAATTCTATAAGCACACAGTTCAAATTTTAAAAATACTATTTCATATAGCCAGACCCAGAAATGAGAACTTTCTTTACAGGATTGCTTTTGGTGTACCTTATTTAAGAGGAGATTTATATTTTAACCAGTTACTTATTGAAGTCCAAAAATGTATTCTGTGGTTCAAGTGGATTTCCAGATTCCTAAATGTGCTTTTGTCTGATACTGGGAGCAAAATAATTGAAGCAGTGAACAGAGATTCGGGGATTTCTACTCTCAATAGAGAGATATAACGTGGACCGATCACTCAGTCCCGTAGGCATCCATCTCCCTGTGAGAACACATCTGCCGTCTGAGAAATGTGTCCTTCTTTTACACGAAAGACTTAGCAAAGATTGGTTTACTCTAATTCCTCAAACTTGTCAACAAGGGGAGTGAAATGGAGAACCATAAGTTTAAGTATTCAGGATCTAGTAGCTTTAGCTTGTGCATTTAGTATTACCCAATTTAATCCAAAGTTTTTCTTATTCCATTTATTAATGCTTGTTTACATTAAGACAATTTAAATTTTTAAGGAAAACTTTTTGACAAACTTAAATGTCCTAAAATGTTGATTTGTAAAATTAGAAATTGGTAATCACATTTTTTACATTCATTTCTGATTTTCCAGTCATTGTTTTTTCTACACAATGTATATTCTTTCACTAACAAGTGATTTGGTAAGTAGATGACATACTCATTAAATAAATCTGGGCCCAATTTTAAAAACACTTACACATATTGTTATTTTCTCAGAAAGACCATGCCATATTAAAGTTCTAGAAATATTGGTTGATGTTTGAATTTATAGGAAATAGGATCATAAACTCATTTAAAACCAAACATTGCATACACAAATGTACACATGTGTATTGTACGCACTTTAATATTAAATTAACATGCTGAACTAAGAAAGGAAAATTCATTATAGTATTTTAATATTAATAATTGAGAGCGAGACACATTACTAAAAGAGAAGTTTTTAAATATTGTTTCTTTTGAAATTAACATAGACTAATTAATAGAATTATCATCACACAATAACATTTTATTAAATGATGTTTTATAGAACTTGTCTTGTTTCAAATCAAGGTAATAATATTGCATTTACACAGTCATGAAATTTTGCTAACCATAATTTGAGAACTAAAAATGATACAATGGAGGGAAGCTAAGTAATAAAATTGTAAAATTCCATAATACGCTATATCTGTCATGGAAAAAGAAAGCAAAAGCCATCATGCCTTATTTCTTCTCAAATAAGTGAACTGGCTTTAAAAATCAATTCAATCAGTAAATATTTTCATTTTTAAGAAAGCTTTACTAGACAGAGTTAGGGTGAGTGAATACTTTTAAATGACATTATTATGAGGTAGCATTATTTTATCAGAATAACTAGATAACTATTGCTAATGCTAGGAACTGAGGCAAGTCTGAACACTGATTAGCCTACTATAAAAGCTTAAGATAAGGCTGGAGAAATGTCTCAGTAGTTAAGAGCACTTACTGCTCTTGCAGGGGCCACATGTTAGGTTCCCATAATCCACATGGTGTCTCACAACCAGGTGTTATCTCCAGTTCTTTCCAGTTCTAGGGGATCCATCACTCTCTTCTGGGCATTGTATGAACATAGTACACATACATACATGAAGCTAAAACCTAACACATACAGTAAGGTAGCATAAAAATCGGAATAGATAGATAGATAGATAGATAGATAGATAGATAGATAGATAGATGATAGATAGATAGATAGAGAAAATAAAATAAGATATAAATATGACTGTTTAAGGGATAAACCAAAGCCAAGGGCCAATAAGCTAGAATAAGATAAATGTTAATGGTTCTTACTATTCAGCATCATAGGCATAAAGTTAGTTTATAAACAGGTTTAGAAAAGTAACCATTTATTACACAAGGGAAACTGCCTGCATTAGGAATACATGATATGGGATCTAAAATAGGAACATAACATTAAATGTGCTTCTAATTTCATGATTTTAACGTGCTAGCAAAAGTTATATTAATATCTTGATCATAATTTTGAATTCTCGGTTGTACTTGATCCCACTCGATATTCACAAGTAGCTTTCGAGTTAGGGAAATTATTATAGAATTTCAAAATACAAATGGATTTTTCCAAGGGCCTCCAGAGTCAATATGCAGTTGACTGCAATGCTTTCCTGTTTCCATTCATGATTCATTCCAGGATAAAGAGCCTGCATATTCACTTATAGAGAGCTGTCGACATGATGTTTGGCATGTTGACTAGATGAGTCTGTGCTGTCTCCAAAGAGACACATACTGAAAATGGTGCAGAGTTTATGCTTGACTACTTCGGTGCATTAAAAGTTCTTTCTTTTAAAGCATATTAACTATTTCTAGCATACCTCAATATGCTTTGCTAGATAACCCTTGCACCTTAGGAAAAAAGGAAGTGGCATAAAAACTGCAGTGAAAATGTCACTTGAAATAACACTTAATACAACAAGATCAAGCTGATGGTTAGACTGTTATTTCAGTGGTAAATTCTGATTCAACATTTGAAATAAAATTTATTATTTATGTATTTATTTTTATTTAAATTTTCATATGCAAAAATGAGCTTTGAGGGAGGCTTCTCTGAGGAAGGAAGCATTTATGATTGATGCCTCATGACCCAGCCCACTGCTTCTCTTGCTCAGTGTCATGCAGAATCATAGCCGTAGAGCCAACTCAGGTTTCCAAATACGTGTATGAGGTTGTACTTTAAATTGGGACTTGATACGAATTTATGGCTAAGTTTAATTTTTAAAATTGTCTATCATTACAATGCAAGAGAAAAAGAAAAACTGTGTTTGTGTAAAAGTAGAACTATTTTTTTTCTCATAACCTTTGTCATCTCGCTTCCAGAATTAACATTATTCTTACGAATCTGGCTTGTAATTGATAACACAGAGCCGTGATAGTTATACTCAGTCTCATCACCAGCAGGATGGCATGTCATTAAGTATACATTACTTTTTCCTAACTTAAAGCTTAATGTTTTCATTATTAAGTATGCTTATGTATGTATACACATATGCGTAGATAGTTTTAACCATCATCCTATCATTCGACTCACCAAATGATGGCTTTTGTTTTGTTAAATAATAATCAATGTAATAAAGCAAATTATGAGATATAACTTCAAACACCACAGACATCCAATTCGATAGTTATAAAATTAGCCATAGATCAATTTGTAAAGGTTAAAATATTGAAGTGATCAAGAGAGATCTATTATTATACATCCAGTTGAAACTTCAGTTTCAATATTGAAAATCCCAATTAAAGTGAGCTGACATCCAAATTACCAGCATGTGGCCTTCTGATAGATAACCAGTTATCGATGAATTGTTATCTATGCCTCTGCATGCATAATGCTAGACGAGCATAAGAACACCTTCTTCATGGTCCTGCTAAACAGAGTTTGAATAGATTAGTATTTCTCTGCAAACTAGTTGTTCTGAGCCCTCGTGAAAATAAGAAAGTGGATTATAGCAGAATATTAAATCAACATCTTCATCCAATAGGTTTTCTAGCAGTGGACTAACTCGTTAGAGTAGATTTTTCACTGAAGATTGTCTGACGCAAACACATTCTTTACTCATTCAACAACAGTTAGTAAATCAACTACTTCATTGGCATTTAATATACCCCTAAATCGTTGACTGACTCTCTGAAACAAGACAGACAAATGGACTGACATTTCTCTCCTTGGAATTATATTCCAAATGATTATTCTGTACTGAACACACGATATGGAGCTAAGTTGCTCCTTGTCCTGTGTAAATAGTGATAGAAAGTTCTGAGAAACCCCTCCCTTGTAAAAAGTTTTGACAACTAACCATGCATGCTTAGCATAAACACACACTGCAGATATGATTGGATGGGAGTTTGATATAAATCAGTGGCAAAATTTCAGGTCAAGCTTTTAAATCCATTCTGGACTTGCTGCCAGAATAGGATTAGAAGGATACTCCAGTGATTTTTCAAAAGTCGATGTTTCCTGTCTCCTCATACACTGGTTTTAGATAATGAGAAAACTAGGCATAGATTCAATGCGGTGCCAACCACTACAACCTTTATGAAACCCAGAAGTAACTGGCTTCATAACACCTGATTTTGGAGTAAATTTTAGTTCTATGGTCAGTTAATATAAATGATAGAGAAGCTTTCATTCACCTGAAGTTAAAAAGTCCCTTCTTTAGGTCAGGGGTGAAAGGGGAGCAGCTAGCATAGGATGAAAAAGGAGGAAATCCATTTGGAGTAAATTATCAACTTGCTCACTAGTTTTCAAGTCCACTGAGTCTTTAGCAATTGGAAGGACATGCTACAATAAATAACTAGTCAAGAACAGACAAAAACATCCCGTCCAAAGCTTCAGAGTCTGAAGAGAAATACATTCTGCCCCTTTGGACATCAAATACAGGGTCCTAGATAGACTTGAAGAAAACATCAACTATCCTCAACAAAAACTATTGATTGCTTCATTCACAGTGTTGATAGTTCAATGGACTTTGCAAAGAATGGTTTCATTAACAAGGTCATGAGAAGCAGGTTTTGTATCAGCATTGTAGACATCCCTCTACATTCATGTTCCTATGAAATATTTTGTGCCTTTGTATGTACTGTCATATATTTACATTGAAATTATTCATGCATGTCACACCGTTAGTTTGCGACAATGATTACAAGCTGAATAATCAAGACAGTATTTCATGTTTATTTGTTGTCTTGCATGCAGGTGAATCTGGTGTGGAAGAGTGGTCCCAGTGGAGCACATGCTCAGTTACTTGTGGTCAAGGGTCGCAGGTGCGAACCAGAACTTGTGTATCACCTTACGGGACACACTGCAGCGGCCCATTAAGAGAATCAAGGGTTTGCAATAACACTGCCCTCTGTCCAGGTAGTGTTAGCAGCAACTACGACTGTGGATGTTTTGAATTGTGTCATGCTACGCATTTGGAACAATTTGCTATTTTCATATGAACGGGGTATAGGCTTTTAAATTAGAGTCTCTAAGTGTAACTTTTCTCGACTGTGCTATATTATTCTGTATGTGATCATTTCTGCCTTCAGAGCAATTAGGATGTTAGATAAATCTCCCTAATGCAAATAAGATTGAAATTTTGTAGCTATTTCAAAGAGTATAAAAACTCAGTTATTTTTCTTGAATTTTTTAGTTGTTAAAAAAAATCTAACTGCATCTATGAGGAAATAAAATTTTCAAGCTTAGTAGAAATATGACATGTGATTGACGGCTTTTCAGTCATCAGTTCTCCTACCATTCAACTGACCCTATCAGAAAAAGAAATAATAATAACTGTATATAGGCCCAAGAATGGTCTTCTATTTTGCTTCATAAATAATCCTGAAATGGTTGTTCTCATCACATCCATTTACTGCTTTCAAACAAAGACAAGGGTCTGGTTTGGGTAAATGTATGTTACATCAAAGTTGTGTTATTTCATGATGTACATGGTCTTATTGGATTTTTACCCCCTCAAAGCAATGGGGACTTTTCGCAGTCAGTCCCAAGGCAGGTGTTGATGGTGTGCCCAATCATTTGCTTACCAGGTGATTGCAAACCTCGTGACAGCAGCAGTTAAAGTGAGGTTCTCCTAGACTTTGTATAAGCTTCCGAAAAGGAGATGTTCTAAAAGAAAGGCCTTAGCACTGTAGGCCTTGTAACCTCCAAGTTAAACATCTTCTAGGGCTCTCCATTGCAGAGCTAACTGATTCTCAATTGATTAAAAACAAGAGTGAGGGGCCTGGAAGAATGGTCAGGAATAATGCCAATTTCCAAGCAGAAAAGGCAAATGCAGTCACATAGGAAATGTGGCATGGCTGTTGTTTGGTGGATATAAATCTTCAAATTTGCAGAATTGGACATTTCGGATCATCTTTTTGACTGCTGCATGAATATACTCAGCACTGCTGAACTCCAAATTTAAAATGGCTTCCATGGACAATTCTATGCTATGTAGGTTTTGATTTAAAAAAAAAACACATAAAGATCCCACATGAAAGAGAAAAAGAAGTAAGTAACAGGAGATAACAGGGATGATGCAATGAGGTGTGAGAACCCCTTGTATAAAACAGAGAAAAGCAATAGAGGAGGACAAGGTTAAACAGACAGAAACTAAGGCTACGAGGAAAAGAAGGCACATTAATCAATAGAAGGACAATAATTGCCACTGAAAGAAAGTAGGATTCAGTTGGGAATGCATGATACAAGAAAGAACTGTCATGAAAAATAGCACAGATCAAAGGTGGACAATGTAAGGGAGTCATAAATAAGAAAGATGACAGAAGACTTAAAGCAGAGATCATAGACCAAACACATTTCAATTACAAGAGCTGGGTGGGGAGAAAGGCAAGGGAGATACAGTCTTGGAGTGTCATACCGAAACCTTCAGATCCCAAGTGTAAACGCTGTGGATCCTTATTTGAGTGGAATAGAATGGGTTCTTCTGGGGAATACTTAACCATGATTCCTAACCACAGTATTTACATGGTGATTTACAGGGTCAAGTTCCCTGCTCTCATCAATTAAAACAGTATCAACAGAGCATTGTGATAAAATCGATATATAAATTCATAAATTTATCTTTTCAGGGTGTACCTAGTGTCAAGATCATTTGCACAGAACAAAGACAGGGTCTAATGACAAACATATTCCTAAGTGGGAATCTGATTGGTTTTCAATGTGATTTCCACCTTCCATAGCTTACCTTCTAGTCACCGGTTACACACACGTGCAAGGTTCACATAGGGTAGGTAGTCTTCATCTACCGGAGGGGGATGATTCGCCCGTCAATTGGAAAGTGAGCACATCCGTGGCAGAACTCAAATCTCCCCACATGTGGTTTTACTGAGTTCGCGCTCCCTGTGTCTCATGCAAGCAAACTGAGTAATATGCTCTTGACAGCTCTTTTGATTACTATAAACTTTTACCCTTATCATGTGTAAGAATGTGAACAGTTTTGAACCTCTTTCACCTTCATGCATATAAACTATTTCTCTCTAAATTTTTGTTGTTATTGCTCACAAAGAAAAGTATATCGTTGTTATACTTTGTTTGTTGAATTGATGATCAGTTTTATTTTTAATTTTAGGATTTATTATTTTAAAATATCAAAAAATACATAGTTATAGGAAATAGGAGTTTATCTCATATCCTGTCTTTTTTTTAAATTTACCATATTGGTAAATGTTATTTTTATTATGATATATCTTGAAAACAGTAAAAACATTAAGAGTAAATCTTGAGTGGTTTAAAATTTAAGAAGTATTTCCATCAATATGAACATCTTTATAAAAACAAATCAATACCTGACCTTGTCATTCTAGGGAATTCTAAATTTTGTGTCATTTTATTAATGGACACGAGACAAGAAGAGGACACATTGACTATTAAATTTAACTCTTTTACAAAATGAGAGCATTTGAGCTTACATTTATTTGTACCATGAAGGAAACTTGATAGTATGACAAGTGACTTACTCTTTATTAATTCACAAATTCTTTTTATTCAGATCCACTAACACATATACACACTAGACCTTTTGCAAATTTCTTGCTCTGACAGTTCTTTTTAATTTGGAAGGTTTATTATTATTATCATTATTATTATTCAGAATATATGGATTATACTTAGATTGGGAAAGTTAAAGAGCAACTGTCAATTCTCTAGTTACTGTCCCAGCTGAATTTCAGCTCTGCATTCCACTCCAGAGTTCTCAACCTCTGTTGATTGAACACCAGCATTTTGCACCTGATAAGTCTGTTTCAAGGAAGCCATACTGCTCTTTTGTGTGCTTACCAGCCTCCCTGGCTTCTACCCACTTAATGCCAGTAGCACTTCTTTTCCTTACAAGCTGATGCAAGCCAAACTGTCTGCGGATATCAGGAAACACTCATGTGGGTAGAGTTACCACCAGCTGATAATCGCTGATCTGCACTGTCGGGAACTAAATCTGTAGAAGTTAGTATAGGTTACAGAATGATTTGGGATCTCTTTCTTAAGGAATGTCATATTCATTTTTTTTCTAGAGTAAAACTCTTGCCCTTAAAATGATTATTTTATATATAATGCAATCGAAATCATATGAACATTTACAGATATTTATTCCAAACCCTGGCAATAATGCTTTGTGTATTCTATATATTTTATTTTCTCTTTTGCTTGTACAAAGTAGAGATATGGCAATATATCTGGTACCAAAGGTCAAGAAGAAAACTTAAAAAAAGAATGAAATTGATGTAAACTAAATGACTTTAATAGTATTATTTTTCAAATTCACTAGATAACTCTCATGAAGTTTTGCATTTTACTGAAAAATAAAAGGTATTATATAACAATTTCACATTAAATTGAAAACTTGATCTTAACATAAATTTTATGAATAATCTTTTTAATATAAATCTTACATTGTCTAAATATGTGCTATAATATTTTGTCAGCTCAATAGTCTCTAAAAGTGACAAACTATTAATAATTTCTTGTTACATAAGACATTAGCAACTTAAATGAAGTGACTGAATCACAAAACCTGAACATATAACAATACAGACTATAAAAATGTCTATATAACATTGATTTTCTGATTCCAGTATCATGATTTAAATAAGCTGCTAAGATTCCTTGTCAGTTTTTGTGGTTCTCAAAGAAAAAAAATTGCCAATTTAGAAGTTTAATGTCTTCTAGCATTGTGCTTTGTACTTTGAGTACTATAGTAATTTGACAAAAGATTATACAATGTATTGAACACTTTACATAGTGGAGAAGGTGCTCATTAGTTTGAAAAGTATGGCAACAAGAAATAAGTGCAAAAATTGACAAAATATGACTAAAAATAAAATATATTTGTATAAATTACTTGGAGAAATCTTATGATTGATGTTTACATAGATGTGCTGCACATATAAACATATTTTAAAAACTATATAACATTTGTGTGTACATCGCTGAATGGAAATATTAGATATTCTGTTATCAGTAGATACTAATTAGCTTTCATTTTTCTCAGATTTTATGAGGTAGGTGAAAAAAATGAGCTTTCCCCTCTTTCTGGTACTTTTTCTAAGTATTGTTTTTTTTTAAAGCTTTTCCAGTGACTTCCACGCACTCAGTCAATGACTTTCAGTGCATTATACTCTAATTGCGCTGCTGTTTTCAACATTTGAACATATTTTCACAACTTTCTGCAGCAAGGCAACAACATAAACAGAAGAAAATGGTATACTTAAACATGAAAGTGTTATTTGGGGGAAATGCTTTGGAGATTTAGCCAGATTATTTCAATTACCATGCAAAATTGTGTGTTACTGTATACTTTGTGATGTTTGAGGTTTATATACTTACACTGTGGCATGAGGAAACATTAACACAGTTTACAAAACTACATAACATTCTTTAAAGACCATAAAAGAGCAGATTTTGAGTACTTTAACCACAAAACTAATAACAGTCTTGTTAATGCACTGGCTAGTTACCTAGATTTCAGCTTTAAGGTAACAACATGAAGAAAATTCTAGAAATATTGCATTTGTTTAGAAGGTACATTTGCTACTTTCTGTTGACTTGTGCGTATCTACTAGTTGGAGGAGAAAACTGAATCTGCTTCTGCCATTTTTTTTGTGGGTCTATACTCCCTACTCTCAGGAGTGACCCCAACAATTTGTGCTTAAGACAGTGTCAGAGTTCTAAGGCTCTGTGTCAAGACAGAAGGTTCTCAAGAGTACATTCTTCCTGGCCTCTCTGTACATGCTTTATGTGTAAGGTAAATAAATACCCTAGGGCTAATAATTAGGATGAGAGCAGTAATTTGACATTCAGAAAAAAATTAATCCTTAAATCCAGAGAACTTCTGTAAACTGTACCAGTATTTCTTACACAGCCTTCAGTACTCATTCAGAAGAAACACATAGTATGTTTCCATTCAGGTTTGAATTATGGAAAATGGGATATTTGAAGCATTGGTATTTCCATGGTTACTTTAATTCTACTTTTCTATAATTTGGTTTTGTTGTTGTTTTGGAACTATAATTAGGAATTTTTCAAGTTTCATCACACTGTCAGAGGAGGGAGATAATCTTCTTGCCCTATGGATTTCAGAAACAGAGTGTGCCTACCTTAACCTGGGGAAGGGGAGGATGCTACCAGAGAAGATCCAGAGGTTCAAATAGCTTCCTACTCAAAAGATGATGAATTTACCTCCAAAATGCTAGATGAGAAAAATATTTTAAATGCTAGTTTAAAAATATATTTTAAAATATATACAACCAATTTTCGGGAATACTATTTTTCTCATTTTCTAACACATAATGTTTCTGCAACTTCATAGGTATTAGAATTAAATTGAAAATTAGCTATTTAAAACAAATTAACTTTGAAAGTTCAGTTCTGGTAAGAGAAAATTAATTTTCCTTATGAAAGAAAGTGATTTTCCATTTAAAGATGTAAAAAAGGAAATAGTTTAAAATTTTTGATTTAACTGTAGAAGAAAAAGCACATCGAATTTTAGTATTTTAATAAATCTAGAAGTTAAATTTAAAAGTTAATTTCTGATTAGAGTTTTATGGAAAGTGAGTTTTCAAAATACCTTCATATCTTATTCATTGATATCTTTTCTTAATTATACAGAAAGAAGTCTGTGACTTTGAGTCTTTTCTTTATGGCTGAAGCTCCTTTGCTTTATTACAGTACATGGAGTTTGGGAGGAATGGTCACCTTGGAGCTTATGCTCGTTTACATGTGGCCGAGGCCAAAGAACACGAACCAGGTCATGCACACCTCCTCAGTATGGAGGGAGGCCCTGTGAAGGCCCGGAGACGCATCACAAGCCCTGTAATATTGCTCTCTGTCCAGGTAAGCATAGTTGGCACTTGTTGACGCTTGCATTGCTGTAGTTCATGTATTGCACTTGGTGGGCGTTCCATATGGAAAACATACAGCTCCTCTGAAGCCTTGCTGAAAAAATGTTTTCTCCAATTACTGTCTCTTTTGTGGATGAAACAGGGTCTTTTTCTTGGTTCCTGTGTTTGTAGTGATATACATCCTCTTGAGTGGTACTGACTTGAGTTCATCTTTTCTGAATTTCTTTATGTGTATACACTAATGTTTTAAAATAAAGGCTTATTTGTACAGAGTTGTCCATTGTGAAGGATGACAAAAAGTTCTCAGGTCTTGAGTTGTTGTTACCTTCAGACATAGGTAGCAAAACTTGTTTTAGAATTGTTTCCCCTCATGTTGTTCTTTACAGCCATTCAGTCAAGGGAGGGAACTTGTCACTGACCATGTAAGAACAACGCTAATATTTTCTGAGAAACATAAGACAGTATAGATAATCTTCTGTTGAGTGTATTATTATCATCTTAACATTTTCTGTTTTCCTAGTACTCCAGTTTTACATCACCTAAAGCTGATAATTCTCCTCATTGTCCCAGAGCCTTTATAATATTATCAAATATTTATTTTCAGTATTATTCAAACATCAAGCAAATAGTGCATCAAGAATAAGAAATTCTGATCTCTGGCTCCAGAGGGTTCAAAGTTTAGGGAATAGTTTCATGTTCATAAATGTTAAAATCCAGGAAGATATAGCCAAAACTGTGAATCACAAATGGCTAACAAAAATGTCAAAAGACAGTGTTTAAAACAAAGATTCCTCCTTTGCTCTTTGGACGGCTTCTTGTTAGAACAGTTCATAAACTACTATGTATGAAAACAACGTGGTGGAACTTCTACTGGGACTTTTCTATAAATGTATTTTCCAACACAGAGCCCGTTCCATCTATTCTCCTAATTATTCAAGCCAGTGTCCTTTGTTATAAGGCAATCCTTTAATGTTCTAGAAATTATTTCACATGATGGAGACCACTAGAAGTCAGAGGGAAGTAGTGGTAAATGGATATAAAATATAATGTTACATGTATGAAATTTTCAAAGAAAGAATAGAAAATATTCTCTAAAAAGAAACAAGATTTTATGTATTTCTGTGTAAAATTTTATGAGTTCCATAAATTTTGGAAGTATGCACCTAAATAGCAATTCAATTATTAATACTAGGGCTCAAAAGTCATAATTTGTTATTTGCAAATCACTCCCAGAAAACCCATGCATGATATCATTTGTTTTCCTTCCGTCTCTAGGTACATACCTCACACAGACACATGCCATTATCTGAACACTTCTCTCTTACGTTTTCAAAGCTTTTCAGAGCTTTTTAGAAATATGCCCCACTTCTGCTTCCCTAAGTAAGCTGTATGGGTCTGATTTGTATATTTAAATTTATATTTTTTTTCCTCTTGTAATTTTCCTTATTGAGTTTGAGTATACCACAACAGATCAAATTCCTACCCTGTATCCCAATTTCCTTACTGTGAACTGGGATTCTTAGAGCTACGGAATTTCAAAATTTTCATTCTGTATCAGAATTTTTTCCCATATGATTTAAAAGTATATAAGATCTATATGGTACAACCACTAGGGAATCTCCTTATAAATATTTGTTTTATAGCTAAACCCTGACACCGCCACTGACTACAAAGCCATCATCAGTACCAATGAGATGCAAGACTTTGTCCAAAAGAATACATACTCCATCTTTTCAAGAAATGAAGAAGATTCACATATAAGTGTGTAAAATGTTGAAGAAAGTACTCTAGTCTCAATAAAATGTTGTGGTTTAGTGGTTGTAAATTTGACCTAACCTTTCTTATATAATCGTGCTGTCCGGGATTTCTTAGACATTATCTTAGGAAATACTGACTTGATAGGAAGTGAACCACTAATAAAGTATGGTTAGAACTACAGTATAGCGCCTTGGCCTGATTTGGAAAAAAAGTGCAAGGACAAAAAAAAAATAGTGAATGATGATTGTTTTTTTCAGTGAAATAATACAAGAAAAGGATTTCAGACCCTTTTAAAACTAATTTTTATTGAGCTTTACATTTTTCTCTGCTCCCCTCCCTGCCTTTCCCCTCCCCACTTCAACCCTCCCCCAAGGTCCCCATTCTCCCAAGTTACTCAGGAGTTCTTGTCTTTTTCTACTTCCCATGTAGATTAGATCTATGTATGGCTCTCTTAGTGTCCTCATTGTTGTCTAAGTTCTCTGGGATTGTTATTTTAAGAAATGTTCCTCAACGTTATACGATACTATAAGTGTGACATATAATGGTAATCAAATAATGAAATATGTTTCACTTATGTATTTTGGTAAACAACCACAAGCAGTTAATATTCCAGCAGATTCTTTCCCTCAGGCAAGGTCCAGTTTCTTTCACATCTTTTGAGGCAGGAAAGCAATCTTCCTGCCATCTAAGTGAAAAGGGAAGAAAGGGGGAAAGTAGTTATGGCATCCCTGCTTTCGTTGTTAGTTGCTGTCTCAGTTTCTTTCCATTGCTGCTGTGGCAGAATACTATGACAAAGTATTAAAGAATAAAGGACAAAGGGTAATTTTGGCTCCCAGTTCAAGGACAGGAAGTCAAGGCACAAGGGATTTAAAGCATCTAGTCAATTGCGTGGAGTCCCGAAGCAGAGTGGAGTCAAGGAATGCTTGGCAGTTCTCGGGTTGCTTTCTTCCCTTTATACAGTCTGATATCCCAAGACGAAAAAAATCATCCTGACAATAATTAAGGTGGGCCTTCCCACATCAATTAATGCAATCAGGTAATCCCGCAGAGGCCTACTCAAAAGCTAACCTTAATCTAAGTAATGATTTGCAGGTATGCTCTAAGGTTTGTCTCCCAGCTGATTGCAGATTCTGTCAGGCTGACAATTAACACCATCACCCTTGCTACATTAATATCTGGTCCGAGAACAGGGGCTGCTGTTGATGGGAGACGTGTAGACGCCTAGAGCAGCAGCAGAAGGGATCAGCTTGTTCAGAGTTATTATGGAAAGCTGCGTGCATAGCCTTAGTGTTTAACTGTCTTTGTGGTCTATCTTTCTTGTCTAAACCAACCTAGAACATAGTCCAGCTTACTTTGCTTTAGTTGCTGTTTCCTCTGAAAATTTAATTGTTGTAAGGAATTGAGCATTTAATCCATGGTGGTGCCAACCGATACCTTTGATTATATAGAATTTCTCTTCAATTTTCTTCTTATTTAAGCGACTTGTTTCCTGGTATTCTTCCAACAAATCACAGTGTATGTATATTCTTTTTATGTGTATACATATATGTGTGTGTCTTTAATATATATGTGTGCATATGTGTATATATATGTATATATATAAATTTCTAAGTCTCGCTCCAATTTCTAGTTATATTTTTTACTTTGTTTCCTTATCTTCCTGTGATATGGTGATGGGATTTTGTACTTTCATAAGGACATATTTAATTTTATGAGTCTTTTTTATTCTTTTACTCTAATTCTTACTCTTTGAGACTTGTCAATGAGACCTTTTAGAGAGAATTAGGAAGGGCTTATTAAGGGATTTAGGCTTGTGTATTAAGTAATTTGGTGAGATCTTACTGCTGTTCTGGGTTGGATGTTAGGGTTATATATGATTGGGTATTACATTAGGTAATGAAAAGGGAAGATTTTCTCTAATTGGTAAAGAAGTACCAGTCATTCGTGTTCGTTGAAAAATGCATATTTTGTACTTTGGGTGGGTTATACTATTATTATAATCTTGTTTTGTACATGGAATTAAACATATCTCACAGTAATATTCTATGGATTGGGTAGCTCCAGGAGTGATAACACAGCCTATCTCCAAGCATAGGTGGGCTGTCAATAATGGTAGGATCTAACTATGTTAAATCCATCTTTCGATGGTCCTTTTATTTGAACTTCTCCTGTGGGCAAAAGCTTCTTATTAGTGGTTTGGGCTTTTATTGACTTTAGCCACATAAATATGTCAGCTGTGATGTACCTTCATTTATTTTGTATACCCAATATGCAAATGATAGAAGTTGATAGCCTCAAAATAAAATCACTTCCTTTGAAATTAAACAGTTCTCATAAAATCTTAAATTTTTAACTCACAACCTCAATTTTAATAGGCATATAATTTGCTTTATTTATAATATTCCCCTATTAGCAGTTGAGAATGAGAGAAACTAGTGGTTCAAAATTACCCTCATTTTTGTTTCTGCTTGGTATTTCTCAATCAGAAATATATTCATGTTGAAAGTACAAATAAAATAATAGATCAAGAGTAGCTAACATGAGAGTGACAGATAGGAGACCAGATTACCTGAAATAGCTCTATATCAAAAATCTATCCCTAAATACATTAGGTATATTCTATATAATAAATATAGCATATATATCTAAATACTTATGTATACACTATATAAAAACAAATTATACAATTAAATATGGTATGAAAGCCAGAACACCTTCAGCTCCAATTCTTAATTATTAATGTTGATTCATACAACTTATTATTGCCTTTACCATTCCTCATTTTTCAAATTTATAAATTGAGCCCAGCATCTATATGACAGGAATGATCTGATGAGTAGAAACACTAAAAAATATAAAAGGAGACAAAGTGGAAGATATTTGACAAGATTTGCATAAGTATAATCCTTTAATATTAGGGTCTTTTGACGGATATAAGTCAAATAAATCCAAGATGTAATATTTGAGCTCTGTAGCCTTATCTTAGAGTCAAAGTCAATCTTCCTCCAGGCATCTACAAATGAGTACCAAATATCTGTGCCTGTCTGTGGGCCTGAAGTGTCCTTCTGCTCTCCTGTTCCAGAAAAGCATCCCTGTGAAGCCAGACCCCCCACAGTGCAGAAGGTCCCCAGGTCTAGGTTCCAGGAACATCTGCATATTTTTACAAATCCTGCTAGGGAGCAAACTCTATACAAAGGATAGTCGCCCCAGAACAACCCTGTTTCAGTGTCCTGC